TATGAAGGCTTACCAACTACCTTAGCTTAGCCCATGCTTATTGCAGGACAAACGTTGGAGTGGATTCTAGACACTCTTTACTAGGCGCCTCAAGACTGACCCAATTCACTCATATAGGTGTATTGTTATTTGTGTGTGCGTTTTCTTACAGACACACGCAAGATAAACATGCAAATTAGTAAAAAAAAAGAGATAGAGATACGTTTATGCGAGCCTTCTGTTTATCTAGTTGGAGTAAATCTGTCTAGCCATCGCCTGCGAGTGGAAATTCACACATTAGGACAGGTTCCTGAGAACCAACAGTGTTTACTATTAAGTACATGAGCCGTGGGTGGAAGCGAAATTCAGTGATGATGAGAACGCAGGATAAGCAGAGCCGGAAAAAAAACACGAAAAGCATGTGGTGCGACTTACCGTAACCTGAATCAGATCAAGAGCAGTTAACTTCTGGCCCTCGCCAGGTTGGTAAGCATCAACAGCGGCCTTCAAGTACTGCATAATGCCATCGCGAACCTGGTGAACAGAAAGAAACAGTCGATGTATTGCGGTAGAATCATGTAACTATTGGCAGAGTAGCATACGCTGGTACGGAAGCATCACCTAAAAACATTCCACATGTATAATCAACCAACAGCCAGACTAAAACGCCGTTGAATACTGTCGGCCAGAATCCTCAAAAGGTTTACATTGTACTATTTATTTTTCAGAAGGAAGTACAAATACTTTTTTGGATAAATACCGCTATCCAAAGAAGCGGACTCCAGTGAACCGAAAGGATGAGTTGGCCTACTTGTGATGCTAAAATGCGATTTCTGTGTGTGTTCGATGAAATAATGCGACTTAGGCAATCACAGGAGCCAGACTTGGTGGGGAAAACATGCAAAGTTCTGGTGTCCTGGAAAAAATTCGCTGAAGGCAAAGCCAAAAGTGTTCAGACAGATTAGAACTTTTGCAATAATGAGTATGGTCTCGATATGTTGGTGCATCTAATCATGCAAAACCGAGCGCGATAGCCTCAACAACATTAGCCGTAGGTGAAACCACGAACTGTGAATGTTATGAGGGAAGATTAGAATTCTCGTTTTCACCTCGCTAGCAGCTATTCAGTCAACCGCCAGCAGCGCACATGGCCATGCAGTCCCATCGTCAATCGAGCTTAGAGTTGCAAACTTTTTCACCAACGATTTGCATTCGCGCTGTGATTCACCGATCAAAATAACTTGCGTCCACGGAATAGAAACTTGCACACATCCTTCTATGCTATACAAGTAGGCTCGTTTGTGATTTTTACTCAACTGGTGCACTTTAAATGGCAATCCCGTTTCCAGGCTGTATGTAGTCAAACCTTTATCCCAGTAGAGAAGGCCCTTTTTTATCTCGTGAAACGGAAACAAGTGGAAATAGGTTGTTACGCTCACATCTTAATTATATTCTGTGAGCTGTTGTAATTTCAGCTGGACGTTTCGCTGATAACCAGCCCTTCTTTCGCATCCTTCAAGTTAGCACATAACAGTGATTATGGGTTTACCTAGAGACTAATGCCTACTTTCCGCACACCCCAACAGCACGATAATTTCGAAACGAACACTACGCTTAAACAGGACCTACAAAGGGCTCAGGCAGTTGTGACGAACTTATTTCCCCTTACTTTGGGGGGTACAATGAACTTTTAGAGTACAGTAAACAATCTAGACAGACGACTAAGGTTTTACTTTTCAGCCAGCCATGACGGTTTTCGTAAACAGTGCCGTGATTAACAAAACCGGTCGAAAATAACACGAGAAGCCGTCGCGTTGCAAATTCCGACTTTAACTTAAACTGCGATTCTTGTGAATTCATTTGGAGTTAAGAGGACATGCCTGCCTTGTGCACACAAGGCATTATGCGCGCACTTACGGTATTACTGTTTTCACGCATATGCACAGGTCGCTTGCGTGCACATAAAATTACTCTATTTTCAGGATATAACTCCACTGGCAACCGGTTTTAGTGGCTCATAATATTTTGAAAAGAATTTCAGCCCCCGTCTTGGCCAATAATGTTCGTTGTCAATGGGGGGAGGGACGTGTAATGCTCGTCACAAAAATGCTTTAAGTATGCAAGGCAGTATATTGATACCAAGAGTAAGTGCTCGGATTTTCGAGAGGAGAACAGAGATGACGAACAGAAAAACCGCTCGAGGACAAGCAAAAGGCCGACATTATGCTTCTGTTCGCAGCCTGGGGTGGGCAGACGGGAGTTTGAAATGGTCAACGAGTAACGGTGCTGCAGGCCACAAAAGTAGCCAATCACAGGTCCTCAAATTCTGTGGCGAGGCTGTAGCGCCTCAAGCGCGTATACGCCTTTCGCTTCTGGCGCGCACGACGCAGTTGAGGTCATGTGATCCAGCTGCCGGGCAGCCTCTGGGACAACCAATTACCGGCGCCCAGAAACTGCCATCATTCAATGAACCGACGAAGCGGACATTGACACACTATAACGGGACGTTTTTGCTTATCACCCTGGCGGACAGCCCCTGAGCTTGCCACGCGTTAGCACCTCTAATCACTATCAAAGTTATGTACAGAATAAATGACGTCTATTGATGTGTCTCGCCCTATCCTCTAAATCGGAACTAGGCCTGCTGATCGTAGTGCTCTGACCACAAACACCGCCTAGACGCACAAAGGCTGCACACATTCTGTGGCATAATCTTAAGAGTAACACAGTGAAATTCCCAGTGTTTTATGTTCAGATAATCTTAGACTCCGTGTCGAAAAAAAAACAGAGAAACCCTTTACAGTGTTGACGTGCAGTGTGCAGGCAAGACAACTAATTATATTTTAATACCCTAAAGGAGGGCAATCTTGGAAAAACGCAAGACAATGCGTCTATGGGCTGACTTACAAAAAGCTAACCATGATAGGTAGAAGGCTTGCTGAGCACCGGAAAAGAGGGTTTATTGTCCTGAGCTTTGAAATTTCTACAGGAGTTCACGTTTGTAAGAGTTTGAAAGTTGAGGACAATAAACCAACTGTTCCAGTGCTCGACAAGCTTTCTCCTTTATAAATGCAAACGCCTGGAACGCAAACTTTCACATTCATTCATGAAAACAAGCACCTGATTCGCATGTGGGGGAACGAACACGTTACTTCAGCTCAGAATCTACAGTACTGGATCATGATAAACAAATATAAACAAAGGGTCTCAATACAGACAGTCACTTTAAGGCCTATATGATCCGTACACGGGTTCTGATCACCAATAATGGGAAGTCAACAGGAAAGCAAGACAATGGCTCCTGACTTGACAGTTACCGGAGAAAAAAAATTAGTCAATAGGAAGACATTAAAGGGGCTCGACTTTCAGAATGGCTCTCACGTGGCGCCGTGACCAACCAACATTAATGAACGCTTACTTTTTCTTTGTAGACAACACCAGCAATACCGGTTGCAATCTCAGCAGCGAATACGAAGAGAAGGAAAGTGAAGTAGAGTCCGAGGCAGCAACGGTTGAAACGCAGGGCACCCCAACAGCCACAGATTGCAAGGAAAACGGGTACAATTCCGAGTATAGTAATGCCAATACAAGGGAAGGCAAGAATGCTCAGTCGGCCGTCCGGTTCACTAACGTAACCTGATACGAGAAGGTATATACCGAGGCCCACAATAGTAAGGCCTATGAGCTGAAAAATGTAAAAAAGGCAAGTTACGCCGGCGTACGACAAAATCATTCTAGCAACGATGCCTGGCACGGAAGTGGGACAAGTGGTTAAGAAAATATAAGGAGGAGAAAACTAACACGCTAGACTGACCATCTATGGAGCGTCAATTTCTTAAACTTTCAGCATTTTCATTAAAGGTCTAGAAACTAAAGATTTAGCGCGACCTGAGATTTCACCCAGGGTGACATGGAAATAAACCAGTGAAGCCATGGAAGATAGTATCGTCGCCGAGGTATATTTGCATGGGCATTCACTAATGCTGTTGTAGTCGGCTCCAGAGCCCACATTGCCATAAACCAGCCCGGCTCATGTCCCTGAATCGACCGTCAGACAAGCGACTTTTATCAGGTTGGAGTTGCATCCACCATTATCTTCGGGTCTGAATTAAGCATTGAAATTATATTGGACCATCAGGTTATGCAAATAATACCGTAGGATGCAATGGATGTTGGTAAAACCGAGTGAGAGTCCCAGAAAACTGAATTGGACAATGGATAAACCCGAAATGGCTGTTTTTATGTGTCGTTTGTTCTACTTAAGCTTTGATATTGCTCACTTGTTGGCTTATCGACCTACCGTTAGCTTTTTGGTATTCATGTAACTAATATACGATCCTGGTGGTCTGGGTCGACAGGCAAAACAAGTGCACACCCATCTCCATCATAAATAATTTTGACGGGAAATGGTTGATTATCAGGTACTGCAAGAATCCGGTTTATGTGGCCGGCGATCCATCGGTTTCACCTAAATCATCGATTTTTTAGCATAACAGGTCAGAATGCAAGTGCGGAACACGATTTTCTTCCTATCCAGCAGTGTTAACGTCGAGAACTTCCCTGGGAAGGTTTCGTCAGATACGTCTATGCACACTGTAATTACCAGGTCCTTCCTCGTCAGCCAAATGACGAACAAAATCGAGTGAAGAGACTATCGAACGAACTTTCGCTTTAACCTTTGCCGACAGTAACATATTGGTCGATATCCGATGTCATATTTCGACGGGGGCCCACAAGGCGGAAGTAAGTAAGAAGGCCCCATCAAAAGTAAAAAGGAAAACAAGATAGTGTGCATAACTTGGATGAATTTTTGAGAAACCGATAAGAGGGTATATGGGACACCTTAGTTCAGTTCAGGGGATGTAAGACAATCCACCTGCATGCATAATTTCTACTGAACAAGACAAAAGCGTCACTGCAGCGTACAATTTTTTTTATAAAACAGCCAATTTGACAAAAGAACCCATAGCATTAGACCCATATACCGTCTCGTTTTCTTGTACCAGAGGACAAACGGTTTGCGCCACAACTAGCCTTAAGAACGGGAGAGGCTCTACAGCACGGTTTCGTCTAAAATGTACAAGGTTCTCTGCTAAGATTGTACTAGCTCACTAGACCTGCGACCAGTGAACTGCTTGGTCGACAGGGCACGGCTCAAGTCAATCACACCAGGGAACTGTTGGGTGAATTGGACATGCAGTACACACTGACAACACTAATCCAATCACCAAACTAGCCGCAGGCTAACCTTCGTGGATAGAGGTAGGTGATTTTAGTGTGAAGAGGAATGAATTCGACTGTCCATGCCTACCAGTGTCAGTGGGATCAAGTGGGGTTTGCACAAACGTGAGCGACAGGTGTCACCTGTCGTATATGTTAAATGTGTACAGAAAAAAGACGCACATAGAAATTTTGCTTAGAAACTAGGCAAACAACTCAGGCTAATAGAAGTGTAGGCACTTTTAAGTGCCACTTGTTAAAGCAACTGCTGTTAAAGAAAACTAAAATTATAAAAATTTGCATACCTACGTAAAGTAAGCATCGGAGAAAGACAACAAAACAACTTACGATGAATAGGAAATTGAATATTATCATTAATCCACGAATGCATCCTGCGCACGTCTTCGCCATTGTCGCTGAAAATCGCCCTCGGCGCGGTCAAATCAACAATATGGTCCTGTAATGCTCTGTTAATGCGAATAAACACTCAGTCAGCCAGTGGAGCTAACAGGTAAATTGGGCCGGTAGGGCACTTTAAATATAGAAACCCTTACCAATTGAACCAGTACAGAAGTAAAAATCCAAACTACTTTCAATATGTACACTGGGTAGCCGAGGAGTTGATTTAGCAGACGAAGAGCGTTAAATGAGAAACGAGTATGCAGGAACGCTAATGTCTACGTCAAATACAAAGACTTAGCATAAAAAAACAAGACTATGTCAGACAAACTTGGAAATATAAAACACGTGATCTGCGGTGAGTAACTAATCCATAGAACTAGGGTGTTAGATCGTCGGCCAATTTTGTTCTTCAGCTCCATGTGTAATCCGAGCTCGAGACCTCAACGGCTAATTAGAAATCATTACTTATACCTATATCAACTGATGATTTACCAGACCACGCCATCAGTTCAGTGTGTGCTGCGTATTTAGTGGATGATCCGTGGATTGGAAGTTAGGCAGTGATGTCCGATTTGGCGTGATTCCCAAGGCCTACATCAAAGTCACTATCGTCTAACCAGTATACTATATTCAATGAAGCAGTGGTCCTACTCATTAGATGTAGATGCAGTGGTCGGTGTTGGGTATAAGCCTTCTTAATTCGCGGATCGCAGTCGCATTTCATTGGCGATGCGAAAGCAATACCAGTGTCACTTTTGAGTGGTGTACATCAGGGCTCTGCGCTCGGGCCATTATATATATATATATATGAAGAAAAGAAGAGGTTCTTCGGAAAAATCAAGAT